TTGTTGTTGTATTTTTGTTTTTTATAATTTGTACAATTAACCTCCCTGTGGTTCGACCCCGGTCTTGCCGGGTTATTTATTACTTCGACACTCCTGCACTTGGGAGAAGATATCAATCTTTTAGTCGTGTCAGTTAGGTTTATAGAAAAGAAAAGGAGAAAGACACAATAAAGGAAAGGAATTAATTGAAAAGTTTTTGTTTTCCACTTGCATAGAAATACATAAATATTTAGTATATGAAAGTTAAATATAATTAATAAAATAATAATTTAATATTAAAAAACTTATTATTTATTATATTTAAAAAAAATTTTGCAGGGCTCTGCTAGCCTCCCCTGGTTCCGCCACTGCCTTCTTGATATATATATATAGTTATAATATCAAGAAATGTATATATAGTTATATATACTTTACATTTCTTGATATTATATTCTATAACTGAAACTAAAGAAATAGATTTATATGAATTATTTTACATTTTCTAGCATTGGGAAAATGTGAATGGTTATCAAGAAATCATTGAACTTGCCACCGTATCAAAACTATTTTCTGGCAAGTCCTGAACCCATACCACAGGCCATGGCAAGAACCAAGATCCAACAATCCACTGTTCGCACAGCTTGCAAAAGATTCTGGTCTTGTTCATTGGTATCCAAATCAACTTCATTGTCGTTAGGCAACCGACGATAAGCAATTCTGTCTTTTCTGACAAGCAGCCTGGACTCATCCATTTCTTGAAGCTTTGATGGCAGGGAAAAGAGGCGAAACCAAGCAAAACCAAGAGCAGGACAAAGCAAATTAGACGCCCTAACAACCGGTAACCAAACAAGTCTTAAAATACTGCAACACTCATAAGATAAGCTGCGACAATCAACGACAAACTATCAAGATATTTCTTCCCAATATCCCCTTCATCAACCTCGTAGATTCTCACAAACCACCACATTAGAGAAAGAGGGTTGGTTCCTTTCAAAATTGCCAACATCAAGAGATACCAGCTGGGTTTGCTGTTGAATTTGGTTTGATGTGCTTGAATTAGTATTGCCCCACTCAAACCGAGAAATCCCTGCAAACAATAACCAAAAACCAGAAGACAAATCAAACTCTGTAGTTATATTTTGGTTTTACGGATGGCGACTAAGTACCTCTCTGTTTTCCATGTCTAGAAATGAAACCATTAGTGGAAATTAATTGTAGCTTACCTTCATGATGCCAACGGCAGTGTCACTAAAGTGATGGAAATTCCTTACAGAGGTGACAACATCAGCGGTGTTAAAGAAACTCTGGGCATGTGCGGCTACAAACACGAACAGACACACCGGCGGTCGAGGAATCAAACCAGTAACAGCAGCCCACGTGGGAAAATAGACAGCGAAACACTGAATCGCGCCGGCCAAGTGAACAACCCATGGCCCACCACGAACTCTGGTTTGATTCCAGGACGTGGCAGAGGCGCAGAGAACACCAGAGAGGACTCCGCAGTTGGCACTGATATCCTTAGAAACTGATACGGTGTCGAGTGTTGATTGGTCGTCAGCCTGAGTGGATTTGAGAGTTGGAGAGTAGATGGAGAAGGTGTAGAGAGAACCGCTGGTGCACTGAATCCATATGTTCGCTACTGTAGAGAACCGATTGCATTTGCTGTTTGGTTGGTTGTATTTAGTATCGTGTTAGTTTTCATAATGGTAGGTTAAAAAAATTATTTTTAATTATGATTAATTTGAAAAAATATATATTTTATTTAGAATTATGATTGAATAAAAATTAATTTAATTTATTTGTTAAAAATACTTTTAAAATTAAAATTATAAAATAACTAAAAAAACATATATTAATATTAATAATTTTTAATTAAAATATTGTTAATTTGATTAATGCTATTATATCATAAAATAAATTATATGGTGTTATTAAATAATATTAAATATTAATTTTTTAAATAAAATATAATACTTAAAATTTTTTTCTAATACTTTTTAAATATTAAAAAATTAAATAAAAAAAATAACAAGTTAAAATTAGCATGCTGTATAAAGACGATAATAATTGAAAAAACAATTACAAGTTTCAAGAAAGAAGGGAGTGCAAACTGCTAATGGAGCCACATGAACCAGCCATGCCACTATCTACAAGCCGAGAGCCAGCAAATGTCTTGTCTAAGCATCAACTACCACCTATTAATATTTTAATAATATATTTGAAAATGTGGTATGAATTATATTTTTTAAAATTTTAAATTTTTTAATTAAAATAAAACTTTTTATGTTTTTATGATGATATAAAAAATAATTTTTTAAAAAATAAAATAATTTTATTTTAATATATTTTTAAATAAAAATTACTTTAAATAATTATCACTATCATAATATCTAAATCTCCTGAAAGACTTAAAAAACTAGTTATAACTCCAACACCATTAGTTATAATAAAATCAACTCTGTTAAAAAACAATAACAACAACACAGCTTTATCCCTTTAATTAATAAATCAAAATTCTTTATGGTTTTAAACAATAACAATACCTTGGATATTGATTGTATTTGTATTTTAAATTGTGTTTAAATACATTTCAAAAATATTTTTGACTTGAAAAATAATTAAATTGATATTTTTTTATTTTTCTATACCTTTGATGTTTTAATATAAAAAAAATTCATTTTAATATATTTTTAAATAAAAAATATTTAAAAAAACACCACGAATTACAATACAAAACACACTTAATTACTCAATTTCTTCATCAAATATTAAACCTTATCTCACCCCTTCTTGCCCGGTGTAGGTGCCTATTTGTCACTCACCCACTCTTTCTTTCTCACCAGAGATGTTCATGGATGGGTTTGGTATCCATAATTATATTTATCCCAACTTAAAATACTTTATAAATTATAAACTTGACTTATTAAAAAAAATTGAAAAGTAAGTTGAATATAACGGATTTAATTAAGATTTTTATAAATATTAAAAATATCTTGAGCATATAAATTTATTTATTCATCCACAACTTTAAAAAAATATATACTTTCAAAAACATATAATTATTTCTCTAATTACATATTACAATATTTTTTATTATATCTCAAAACAATAAACATGAAAAGAAAATATATATTGAAATGAGATAAAAAAAATGATACATATAAAAAAATAAGAAAAAGAAGGATAACAAAATATTTATAAGTATTATAAAAAATGATATATAAATTATAAGGTTTAAATGATTTTTAAAAATCTTAACTCCATCTAATTTATAATATTAATTTATTTAATTTATTTATCTATTATTAATTGTAATATTTATATTAAAACTTTGTTTGTTTGATGGAAACTACTTTCAAAATTTTATGTGTTTTTTTATTATTAAAAAAATTGATTAGTAGAAAACACTATCAAGTAAAAAAAATTTAACTTGGTTTCTAAAAGAATATTTTTGTTTATTTTGAGTGAAAAACACTTTCTGAAAATTGTGAAAAATTAAAAAATATCATATTATTTACTGATTATATCAAATTTGATCCTCAAATTGTTTATTGCTATATATATATATTGTTTTTCAATTTTATCAATTAAAATTTAATTTTTATATTAACTTTAGTCTCGTTTTTATAATTGTTATTTGCCCGGTGTAGGTGCCTATTTGTCACTCACACACTCTTTCTTACTCATCAGAGATGTTCATGGATGGGTTTGACATCCATAATTATATTTATCCCAACTTATAATACTTTATAAATTATAGACTTGACTTATTAAAAAAATTGAAAAGTAAATTGAATATAACGGATTTAATTAAACTTTTTATAAATATTAAAAATATCTTGAGTATATAAATTTATTTATTCATCCACGACTTTAAAAAAATATATACTTTCAAAAACATATAATTATTTATCTCTAATTACATATTACAATGTTTTTTTATTATATCTCAAAACAATAAACATGAAAAGAAAATATATATTGAAATGAGATAAAAAAATATACATATAAAAAAAATTAGAAAAAGAAGGATAACAAAATATTTATAAGTATTATAAAAAATGATATATAAATTATAAGGTTTAAATGATTTTTAAAAATCTTAACTCCATCTAATTTATAATATTAATTTATTTAATTTATTTATCTATTATTAATTGTAATATTTATATTAAAACTTTGTTTGTTTGATGGAAACTACTTTCAAAATTTTATGTGTTTTTTTATTATTAAAAAAATTGATTAGTAGAAAACACTATCAAGTAAAAAAAATTTAACTTGGTTTCTAAAAGAATATTTTTGTTTATTTTGAGTGAAAAACACTTTCTGAAAATTGTGAAAAATTAAAAAATATCATATTATTTACTGATTATATCAAATTTGATCCTCAAATTGTTTATTGCTATATATATATATTGTTTTTCAATTTTATCAATTAAAATTTAATTTTTATATTAACTTTAGTCTCGTTTTTATAATTGTTATTTTTTTTTAATTTAAATTTTTTATTTATCAAATTAGATCCTTATTTTTTTTTATTGTTACTTATTTTATTTGAAATAATTTATAAAATGATGATTATTATTATTTTAATTTTTTATTTATTAGATTTTATCTTTATTATTTTAGTTATTATTTATTTTATTTGAGATAATATAAAAAATTATATATTTTCAATTTTATTCTTATTCAACATTTTAATTTGTAAGACTTATTTTTTATTATTTTAATAAATCTAAAAAAAATAAAATATTAATAAATTATTTTTTAGTTTATTTTTCATGATATAATTAAATATTAAAATTTTTTTTTAACTGATTTTTTATTATACTATTAAATATTAAAAAATAATTTATTTTTATAAAATTTATAAAAAATTACGTTTGCAGCTAGGTTTGATTAACTTTAATGAGTTAATTCAGCGAGATAGTACAAATATCACAAATTAGTAGTTTTTTTTTTTGTTTTTTTAGCACCTCTATTACTCACCTACTCTCTCCCAAGATTTCATCGCCGATCCCTCACCCACCCGTCATCGTCATCGTCATCGTCATCGTCACCGTCACCGTCACACCTAGTGAAATCCCCTCTTTACCCCCACTCACATTTCCTAGTAAGCCTGTCTCTTTACTCTATAGATCATAATAGTAATAATAATCATAGAAGTGACGCATTTTGCATATTCCATGCATCCTTTCTTTTTTGTGACGGGCCATTAAAATTCCATGGGGAATAGAAAACGGCCTCTAACTTCTCGTACCAAACCCCCTCCGCCACCGTCTGCGGCGGTGCCCACTGTGGCTTCCGATGAAACCTACCTCTATCCTTCTCCTAATTTGGTTTCTACAGAATCGGACGGTTCTTCAGCAATCAAGCACGAATGTGACCGCGCCTTGAATGCTCTCCGTCGTGGAAACCACACAAAAGCCCTACGTATCATGAAGGATTCATGCGCTAAACACGGCGGCGACGCCTTAATCCACCGTGTTCATAGTACGGTGTGTGTTAAAGTTGCTTCAATAATTGACGACCCTAACAGTAAGCAGCGGTATTTAAAGAACGCAATTGAAGCTGCTCGTAGAGCCGCGGAATTGTCTCCGAATTCGATCGAGTTCGCTCATTTCTATGCGAATTTACTGTATGAGGCAGCGAATGATGGGAAAGAGTATGAAGAGGTAATGAAAGAGTGTGACCGTGCTTTGAAAATTGAGAATCCGATTGATCCTGCGAAGGAGAGTTTGCAAGAAGAGAGTCAGCAGAAGATAGCTACTGCGGAAGGGAGGATTGCACATGTGCAAGGTGAGTTGAAAAATTTGCAGCAGAAGTCGAACATTGCTTCGATTTCTACTTGGATGAAGAATTTGGGGACTGGTGAGGAGATTAGGTTAATACCTATACGAAGAGCTACTGAAGATCCAATGGAAGTTAGGTTGGTGCAAACAAGGCGGCCAAATGAGATTAAGAAGGCTACTAAGACACAGGAAGAGAAGAGGAAAGAAATTGAAGTTAGGGTTGCTGCTGCGAGGTTGTTGCAGAAGTCGGAGATAGGTTTGGGAAAGCGTGAGGGAGAGATGAGTGATAAAGGAGTGGAGGTAACGCCTTGGAGTGATAGGAGAGGAGAGAGGAGGAAGAATGGGAGTAATGCAAGGAAGAATGGGACTAACACTGAGAGAAAGGATCGGGTTCAGTCCTATTGGAATTCGATGAGCTTGGAAATGAAGAGGGATTTGTTGAAAATTAAGGTCAGTGATTTGAAGAGTTATTATGTGTCATCAAAGAATGGATTGGCGAATGATGTTTTGAATGAGGCGTTGGCTTGCAGCGAGGAGAATAAGAGCTGGAGGTTTTGGTTGTGTTGTCGATGCAATGAAAAGTTTGCGGACTCAGATAGTCATTTGCATCATGTTGTGCAAGAGCACATGAGGAGTCTTATGCCGAAGATGCAGGAGGTTTTGCCACAGAGTCCTGACAATGAATGGATTGAAATGATTAACAGTTGTTCCTGGAAACCATTAGACATTTCCACCGCGGTTAAGATGCTTTGGAATCGAGGGAAATGTCAGAATGGAGAACTTGTTGAGGATATTTGCTCAGAGAACCATAATGAGGACGGTGATGGTTGTTTCGAAGACGCATGGGATTCTTCTCCAGAGAAGGAAAATTTGAGGGATGGTTGTATTAGTTGTCCTGTGAGCAGCAGCGACTCCGGTAAAGTTTACAGTATTAAAGGTAAAGAATTTGATGGGAACCAGCTGTCTATTGCATGCACTATTGAGAGCTGGCCTATTTCAGAGGATTCTGAGCGAGCAAAGCTCCTTGAAAAAATTCATGATGTATTTCAGGCACTTATTAGACATAAATATCTTGCTGCCAGCCATCTTAAGAAGGTCATACAATTTACAGTGGATGAGCTACAGAGTCTTGCTACTGGTTCTCAACTTCTGAACCATGGTGTGGGCCAGACACCTATGTGCATTTGCTTTCTGGGAGCATTCCAGCTCAAAAAGATCCTCAAATTCTTACAGGAACTATCTCATTCTTGTGGTTTAGGCATGTCTCCTGAGAAAAGTAGCGTTGTAGATGACATGAATACTGGTGCTAAAGGTCCTGAAATAAAAGAGAATATTGTTCTTAATGATGATGCATCTTGTCTCTACTTGGATAAATGTTTATTGCCGTTGGAATACGCTCCAAGAACATGTCCTGATGATGATGTCACCACAGCAACTTCAACTATTGTTGGCAATGGAGATGGGGTTCTACCTGCTGTTGATACTTTACTATCATGGATATTTGCAGGCCTTTCTAGCGGAGAGCAATTACAATCATGGATCCGTACAAAAGAAGAGAGAATGAATCAAGGGATGGAAATTCTCCAGACGCTTGAGAAGGAGTTTTACCATCTGCAGAGCCTTTATGAGAGGAAATGTGAACATTTAAGCTATGAGCAAGCATTGCAGGCTGTGGAGGATCTCTGTCTTGAAGAAGGTAAGAAGAGGGAAACTGACACGCTCTTTGAACTTAGAAGCTATGATTCTGTTCTTAGGCAGCGGAGAGAGAAGCTTGTTGAGAATGAGCATGATGCTATGTTCTTTAGCAGTAGATTTGAGTTAGATGCTATATCAAATGTGTTAAAAGAAGCAGATACTCTGAATGTCAATCAATATGGGTTCGAGGATACTTATGGTGGTATAACTTCTCAGTTTTGTGACTTGAAATCTGGTGAAGATGGTAATTGGAGAACCAAGGACCAAATGCATCACGTGGAAACTTTCATAGAAATTGCTATCCAGAGACAGAAAGAACAGTTGTCAATAGAGGTCAGTATGTTAGTTCCACTTATTTAGTAAAAAATTATTGATAATGGTCCTTGCAACTTTACTTACTTTTATAGTGGTTCAGCTCAGCAAAATTGATGCCCAAATCTTGCGGATTGTTGCTGGAATGCAACAGTTGGAACTCAAGCTCGAGTCAGTTTCTGCCCTTGATTATCGATCAATCTTGCCACCTCTAGTGAAGTCATACATGAGGGTCTGTATTGAGCAGTGATGAATAGGGTGTTTCACATCTCTTTGAGCTGTATCTTTGCTTATTATTTTTGCTCTAATCTCTCTTTTGCAGGCACACTTGGAGGATCTAGCTGAGAAGGATGCCACAGAGAAGTCTAATGCTGCAGGAGAAGCATTTTTGGCGGAGCTTGCCCTTGATTCCAAGAAGGGTACCCAAGGAAGAAGTGATATTTCAAGAAATACATTGGAGAAGGGGAAGGATAGGAGAAAGAACAAAGAGTATAAGAAAACCAAGGAATTGAAGGTTTCAAATTTCTCCTTATGGTTGTGTTTCATGCACTGCAGGCTTCTTCATAGTAGACAGACACAGTCCATTATGCAAGTCTAAATGTGTTCTGCTTTGCAGGTTGCTGCTGCTAGCGAGCAGCACTTGCTTCAAGATGTGACTAATGAAAGGGGGTATGCTTTCTTATGTTTTGCTTTGCACCTCTAATTTGTGTTTCCACAATATGCGCTGCTGTTTTAATTTGCACCTTTTTTTGTAGTACTGATAATGCATACTGCATTTTTTATAATGTTTGATTCATTCCTCTCTGCAGTTCCTTTCCAGTTGCATCTGATGGTGACTATCCAGATTCTCAGTGTCATCTTTCCAGAAATGATGATGACTTGAGACAACAGGAGGAAGAATTTAGATGGAAAATTGAGATTGAAGAGGAGGAAAGAATGCTCGAAGAATCTTTAGAGTATCAAAGACGAATAGAGAATGAGGCCAAACTGAAACATCTTGCTGAGAAACAGTACAAAAAATCTCATATAACTCTTCCAGAGAAGTTGTCTGGGGGAATATGCAATATTTGCTTTGATCCTGCTGCTGATTCCTGTGAGCCATTGGTAAGCATTAGTTTGAAATTTTCCCTTTCAAGATATTGTACAGGGATTGAAAATCAATATTAGTTCCATATCCTTCGGAAATGTGATCCTTGAATAGATAAACAGAGGTTATTCTAAGAGTTAGAATGCTGTGTTTAGGAAATTTCCATTGAATGTCAAATGGAACCTTATGACATTTCACTTTCAGGAACAGTTGACGCAGAAGAGTGGGTTCCCCAACAATTTAGTAGGCATGCCTATGACAACTGCCAGTGGTGGGTTAGCATTATACAGTAGAGTTTCTGAATGAGGCTGGGGCTTGTGGTAATGTTCTTAAATGATTTTCATCGTCTTTATTTTGCAGAGCAATCTACCGGAGGAAATGTGGAGGGTGGTCCTTCTGATCGATGGTCAGATAGGAAAAGTAGGAGGCAGAAAAGCTCTGCTAAATATGATGGAAAAAATCAACCCATGTCATGTGAAATGGAAAATATTGAAGTTGGAAGCAGTATGTGTTTATTCCCCATGATTAGTTTTTGTTTTGATTCTTAATTAGGCTGTATCATGCATAGAAGCGTGCATTGCAATGGACTTCAATCTTCTAAAGTGCTGTAATCATGGTTGTGGATTTAAGATTACCTAATGTGGGTAACATGTCATTTTTTTTATCATCTAATTATGGTGATATCTTTTATTTCCCACTGCCCTTTTGACAACCTCCCCCCCCCCCCCCCCTGTTAACCAGCAGCTTTAATCTGTCTATTTCTCACTTAGATTTATTGTTTACTCCATCTTTTATTTAAATGACAATACATAAAATACTTCCTGGACAGTAATTGAAATTAAATATTTTTAATCCAAGGACATATTACCCATGGGATTATCCTGGTGACTCTGTTTCTAATTTTTTATTATGCAACACTTAATGATAATTGTAGTTGTTGTTAAAGTGAAGATGTGTTAAAACAAAATTGGCTCTGATGTTCATAGCTTAGTTTTTGCATATAAGGATGTTCCTGTCCCTGTATTTACTGTTCTATACTAGCTTTTTTTCATCTTCTGTATGGATGATTAAAATATTTTGTGACAAGAGAACCATACTAGAGAGCACATTGAACTCATTTACAAGAGAGTTGTTTGTTGAAGAACAAAGGCAAGTGAGTGAATCTACAAAATTCATAAATGAAAAGACAATCTTCCAAATATTGCTCTATATAGAAAAAAGTTAGTATAGAGTTTTAATCTACCTATCAAAAGGCTGAGAGAGGAAATTCCTCTCCCTCAGAAGCCCTTTTGTTATGTTTCCTTACTTGAGCCAAAGAATCATTGAAGTAATTGAAGAAGGGGCGCCCCGCCCCGGCCCCCCCCCCCCCCTCCATATATTCTACCAAGCCCACACCTCTCCTTAGTTTTGCCATCCAATTGATCCCTGACACTGAAAAGACATGCTAGTATAATAGTCTGAGTGTGGTGCAAAAGGGAGTAGTGATCTCATTCAGCAGCATTTTCACAAAGGATGACATTGTGGGTATAGAAATGTTTAATCTTTATTTTTAATACCGTAGTAGTAAAAACATTAGGTGGTGTTGATGGTATATTGCTCTCTTCCTGCCTATCTCTGTGAAAAAACTGTTCATGGCTCATGATGTCATTACCAAACTAGTTTAAATTCCAACATAAAATTATGGTTTGTTGAATTGAGCTTTTTGAGAGGCTTCTAGTTTTGTAACTCTATGTGATGTTTTCATATGAATGTTAAGTGTGGCATTTAAGTTTTGCAGTATCAATTGTATTACTTGTTTAACATTGCCTTCTGCTCAACTGTTCATGTGCATTGTCTGGGATTTACATTTTAATTATATTCTCCAGGATACCTTAGTTGTATGATGATCGCTTTGGCCTCTCATTCTGGTTTGTTGTGTGCTGTTGTATTATGGTCTTCTTTACTTGCCTGTCATCCATTAAATCTTAAGCTATTTTTTGGTTGATTCTCTGCACGTTGAACCTAACATTACATGGGTTTCCATATGTGAAATCAGTTACTCCAAATTTGGGAGACAGTGCGACCAAGACTCTGAGACAGTTACAAGTAGAGGAGGATGATGAGGAAAGGTTTCAAGCTGACCTTGAAAGAGCCGTGCGCCAAAGCCTTGGTAAATTTCTCTTGATCCTTTGCTTGCTTTCATTGTACTTCACTACATTTTAAATTGCACATTTTTAACTATGCCAACTACATGGGCCCTAAGGGAACAAAATCAGTTTTCTTCATTCGATGCCTTATGGCCCATGAAACCCCACTTCTCTATCAAAATGGCACTTTTCTATCTTCTTTAAGGTCTTTAAGCTTTAATGAATTATCTATGCTTCTTTAAGGTTTTTGAGCATTATTGATATTTTTGTTTGATAGACAGTTCCTTAAGACATTTTCTGTCAAAATCTTCTGATATCTGGCATAAAAGGTTGTTGTGCTATGTTTTTTCTTTCCAGGTCTGTAAAATGTAATCTTTATTCATTTTCTTATATAATGGCAAGTTCAGCCTTCTGTGCATAAAAAGATTAATTTGACTTGTGTTTCCTGTTTTGATCAACTAAATTGAAAATTTGTTTCCCATTTGGGCAGTTTATCCCCTGGGTTTACTGTCATCAAAGGTATTGTTGCGTATAGTTCTGCACCTAACCATCTATTTCAGGGTCGATTTATTTTTGACAATAACAACAAGAAGCCTCAACAATGAAACCTAGAATGTCATGGAGGATGCCTATGCTGAAGGACGGGTTCCATTATCAGAACCTAGATTCTCTTCATTTGTGTTAGTACTGTATAGGCAGGAGGAATTGTGTCTCCAACAATTCATGTACAGTTGACGTGTATGCATACACCACTGTGAAAAAGAGGCCAATAAAGCTTCCTCTGTGTATTTGGTTAATTCACTTAGTCAAATATTCAAGATTCTATATTGTTCACTTAAATAACTACCTGTTGAAAAGAGAACAGTTTCACATTTAATTTGCCTGCAACTGCCCACCTGGGGGGTGGGTTTCCGAGCATGCTACAAGTCTCGCTAGGAAGCTGGGATGTGGGTTAATTAATTAAATAATCGCTTTGCTTGGGTACTGGACTTGACTGTGCATTTATTGTTATTATTATTATTTGTTGGCACTATACCTGTCAGGCTTAGAAAATCACGTGTTACATCATTTGAGGTGGTCACAATGAGCATTGAGGTCAACCGAATATCTTTGCATCTGACATAAAAGTATTTTGCACTGTTGTCCTACTTGATATCAAGCAATCCCCCATCTTACTGATTGAGAATCAAATGGGCTCTGGCCTCGTCTTGATATTGGTTGGTTGAGTTTGTTTGAATCATGCCAGGCAGCATTTGCCTTAGGCTATTGAATGCATTTACCAAAATGGTCAAGACATAGTTTTCCTTTCCCTAGTCGCCGAAGTAAATGTCCATTTTTTTGTAACTCTATATCCATCTATTTGCATTGATTTTCAAGACACATTTCAAGCACATCAGAAGATACCCTTGATGTCATGTTTGAAAGCACTACAAACAATATATTCTGAACTTGACAATTCTCGTACTGAACCATGTGAAGTTGCAACTGAAAATGTGGATGGAACTGATGTATTTGGCACTGGCTTGAAGAATGATATTGGTGAATACAATTGCTTCCTGAATGTTATCATACAGGTATTTTCTATACAACGACATCTTTGCTGTTTCACTATTCTATTTATATATTCTTCTCACTATTCCATTGGTGTATGCCTTTCATTTCACTATTCATTGCTCACCTGTTTCTTCTTGCTTGTATAACTTCAGTCCTTGTGGCATTTAAGGCGATTTCGAGATGAGTTCTTGAGTAGATCAAAATCAGAGCATGTTCATGTGGGAGATCCATGTGTTGTCTGTGCATTGTATGATATTCTTACTGCTATCAGCATGGCATCCACAGATACACGAAGGGAAGCGGTTGCGCCTACATCCCTCAGGATAGCTTTGAGCAATTTGTATCCGAACAGTAATTTCTTCCAGGAGGTGATTTTTTAAGATTTGTATTCGTCCGCCTTGGTTTTCATATATTTCAGTGAACTGTGATTTTTCGTCATTCACTTTTCACAGTATATGAATTGATGTACGAGGATGTCTTTGCTGAGTTGGTCACAATCGAATTTCAGGGTCAGATGAATGATGCATCTGAAGTATTGGCTGTAATATTTGATTGCCTTCATCGAGCATTTACCACTGGTTTGCATGGCTCTGATTCTGAATCAGTGGAATGTAGTGGCATGGAATCTTGGGAATGTACAAAAAAGAATGCTTGTATAGTGCACTCTCTTTTTGGAATGGACATTTCAGAACAAATGAATTGCCAGAGTTGTGGTGTGGAGTCCAGACATTTGAAGTACAATGCTTTCTTTCATAATATAAATGCCACTGCCCTCCGAGCAATGAAGGTAATTGTTGCTGGTAAAAATATTTTACACAATCACTTACTTCTCCATGTTCATAATTTTTTTTCTAGGTGTATAGTCTATTATCTATTACCTTGTCTATTGATTCTTTTCCTTTTTCCTTGCAGGTCATGTGTGTTGAAAGCTGTTTTGATGAACTTTTAAATCTTGTTGAAATGAATCACCTGTTAACTTGTGATCCCGAGGCTGGTGGTTGTGGGAAGCCCAATTACATCAATCACATTAAGACAACTCCACCACATGTTTTTACAACAGGTGAATGTTTTCCTGAATAGTTTAAGAGATTTTTGCTTAGACAGAATGACAAACTTGTGGAAACCCAAAATTAAGCAATCTTTTGGCATGCAGTTCTGGGCTGGAGAAAAACCTGTGAAAGCATTGATGATATAAAGGCAACATTGGCTGCTCTAAGTACTGAGATAGATATCAGTGTTTTTTATCATGGTCTGGATCTGGAGAACATACGTAGCTTGGTTTCAGTGGTATGTGAAGTCATTCAGACCATTTATTATGTTATCTTGATGAAGAAATTGATATTAAAAACTCTACATATGCTGTTAAATTAAGAAAGATTGGTTTGTTTGTTCTGTTAGTTATGTTGGAAGGTAAGATGAGTTATCTATACGAGGGTGAAAAAATAAGCATTTGAAAATACTGAAAGTGAGAAAATATTTAAGCACCAGTTTTCTAGGGACAACAGGAGAAAGATATAAAAATCAAATACATCAAGTGGAAAAATGTGGAAACCTTAGGTTGTAGTTGAAAATCTCACAATTTGTAGAAAGATTTCTAGAGAACATGTTTACCAATTGAAAATGACAATTGTTTTCCTGAAAAGAAGTAGGTTTTTTTTTAGTTTTGTATTGAAATGAAAACTACCAAAAATCATTCTGTGAATTCTCTTATTTAAAAACAAGGGCCCAGTTTTCATCTAATTTTTTTTTTCTCCTTTCTTTGGGACACTTAAATGCAAACCAAATGATGCCTTGTTTTCTATTTTGGAAAACAAAAAAGAAAACTCATGTTTAGTATTTGTCTAGCAACAGGAAATTATCTTCCATCCCTATTTCCAATGAAAAATAGGAAACTGTGTTTATTTATTTTTTTAATGGTTAAGAATTTTTTCACTAAAAAAAGAAGAAAAATGTCAAGATCATAACTATTATTAGAAAATTCAAAGCATAATTTATAATAGTATCTTAATCTTTAACTAACTATAGAAGTATTACTTTTATTTCATTCAAATTAGAAATTATCATAACAAAGTTGTACTTGTTAACTAAAGAAAAAGAATAATATTTTATATTACACATATAATAAAAAAATAAATTTATGATATTAATCAAATATGTAAAAGAAAATAATTTTAATGTTTTATGTTTGCTAATAGTGAATGTATATAAATGAAGGATGTTATATTATTCTTCTTCATTTTTTTTTTTCTGAAAAACGTTGTAAACTTTGTGAAGAACAATCATAAGAAACTTTAAAAATATGTTTTTAAAACTCGATGTAAATTTGAAAATTAATTTTTTTAGATGAGAAATATTGCATTTGAACTAGAAAATTGGTTTGTTTTTAAAGTGCACCATATGCCTACATATTTTTCCGTTGAGAAAAAGTTTTAGACACGTGAAAATTAGGAAGCTGTTTTACGAAAGTAACCACAGACAGATGTGCCTCATCAACTAAGAAATGAAACAAAATGAATGGCACATCCATGTAGGCTGTGCATTCTTATGGCAGTTGAACAATGAATCAAATTTAAGGTTCTTTTATTGGGAACAAGGGAGAAAATTCGTATAGAACTTGAAGATTTTGAATTAGAAGGAATACGAGAAGAGCAGTAAAATTTATTTAATTGTTCTTTTTACTGGAACATTCTTGCTATGTTTGTTCATGCTATGGATGTCTGATTGGGTCATTGATTGTTGGGATGCCAATTTGTACTTTATTCCGTTCCTCATGATCCTTTTAACTTCAGGTGTGCTACTATGGGCAACATTATCATTGCTTCGCCTATAGTCACGATCACAGTCAGTGGATTATGTATGATGACAAGACTGTCAAGGTACTCCTTCATTCATGTCTGGCCATTGCTTTATCTGCTATCGTGTCTTACAATTATTCTTTCTATTACTAGGTAATTGGTAGCTGGACCGATGTTCTTATCATGTGTGAAAAAGGACACTTGCAACCTCAAGTTCTGTTCTTTGAAGCTGGAAACTAGTGTTTAAAGAAGAATTTGAGGAATTATTTCTTGAACCACAGAGTATCAAGTTCACCATGGCTTGACATTTTTGTTGTTTATAGTGATGTTTTGCTACATCGACCCAATACATCAGCAGTGGTATTGAAAGCATTAAATTTTGACACATAAGAGAATGGTGACGTATAATCCAGAGTTTTATGATACAATCAGGCGGTTTTGTAGGAGAAGCTTCATTTGCGGAGGGAAGACCATGAATCAAGAGACAACTTGATGAATCAAATAACAGAGGAGCTTGAAGGTTGCTTTTTGGCACCCTTGGATCTGAGAAGTTTCTGCCCATGGAATTCTCTCTCTCCCTGATCTTACCTGGAGGGTGACTTGGTATAGAAAAAACAGTAATTGCTTGGAGCGCATGCATTGAAGGAGCGTATGTGTAGTGGCAAATACTGTCCAGTTGCAGGCAGAAACATATGCTGTAAAGGTTGAAAGGGGGGAATTTTGTTAATGAGGTTCAAACTTTAAGAAAATATAACCCCCCATATGAAGAGTTTATGTATAGATCACTTCAAGGTCTTCATCTCCAAATCTGCAGCTTATGGTTATGTTTATGACTGCTCGCTTGCTATTTAATCTGATGGGGAAAAAACATGCCTTTCCTACTTTCACTTACCGAAGTCATATGATTCTGCAGTATTTCTCTCAATCTTCTCCTTTTTTATGGAAATTCTACTGAACTGGGAATTTAGCAAATTACTAGTCTGGTCCCTGTTATTTTCCTTTTGTCTTGATTGTCTCTGGGGGTGATTTTTAGAATCATGGTCTTGATTGTCTCTTGGGGGTGATTTTTAGAATCATGGTCACACGTGGGAATTAGATGAAAAATTGTAAATTTATTACATTGACAAGGTTTGGATGTGAGGGTGGAAAAATGTGAAAAATTCTCCATGATTCATCTTTTTTGGATGTTAACAATGCAGAAATTGTATAAAGGCTTAAATTTTCTTGTATAAATCTCTTTTGTAATAACTCACATACCTGCTTTTACAATTCGACATGTTCGCTCGGGCTCCTCTTATAATGAGGTAAGTTTAGTAATGTGACTCGGGTTCATTCTATAATGAGGTAAGTTTGGTAATGTGGCCTTATAAAAAAAGTCTATGGCGTGTTGAACATCATGTACAGGGGGTAAAACATCAAGTAGTTCAGAAGAGAACACATCTAGAAATTCTTTCAACACTTCTCTTACCTCTTCAGGTGGCTTTTTTAGAAAGTCCTCTACAATCTCCTTAACCACTATAGCAAACATAACAGACTTCTCACAAGTCTTCTTATCAAATTCCCTAGGACTTATTATGTTAAGCCCTTTTTTTTTTTCACTTTATTCTTCTTCTTCTGACTATTATCATTAGACCTTGGAAGTAATCTAATAAGTTGGATTTTTTTATCTTAAAAAGTGAATGAACAAGAATTTGATTGTTCAAAGATTGTAATGTCCAAATCATATAACTAAGGCCTCCTTAAAATGATGTGCCCTACATTCATGAGAATGACATCACACCAAATTTCATCATGATAGTTAAGAATCTTAAGGGGAAAAAGACATCTTTCTTTGACTACTATAGATGTGTTATTAACCTAAGACACACTATAAGGTTTGGGGTGTAGATCAGACTTTAGGTCTAATCAGGATACACTACCCGAGAAAATTGCATTGATACAAGTACTACTTCTATGATGATCTTACACCCTTTATCTCCACATTTAATGTAATTGTAAAAAATAACAGTTCTTCTCCAATCCTCAGTTCCTTTAGGTTGTGTTAAAGCACATCTAACCACACCTAACCTGATTGTCTTAATTTGAGTGGATATAGACCTAACACATCCTAGCAAGTTAGACTCATCATCCTCATCATTTAGATCTTGAAAATCATCAGCATTAGGTTTATATGCCTTATCATCACAATTATCTTCTTCACCCATATCCTCTTGCCCCTTGATAAACAAAGCCTTATTAGGAGGGTAGCTAGAGGAAATATGACTAAAACCTTGACATTTAAAACACTGAATTCTTCAAGTTTTAGGTGCTTCATGAAAAATACCCTTACCCTCGTCTTCTCTTGGTATCTGGGAAATTAAAGGATTGGGATTACAAGGTGGGGCACTTAATATAGAGTTATTATTACCAGGTTGAGGTCTAGAAGGGGTATTACGAGTGTCCTAACGTCTTGTCCACTAGCTTTTTATGATCAAGTCATAATTTTGTACTAGGGTATAAACTTCATCAAGAGTGAAAACACCTTTAAGCATAACCTCTCTTCTAAGGTCATCATTTAAGCCTTTTCAAAATCTACTTAGGGTCATCACTTCATCCTCCCTAACTGCACACCTCATCCTATACTTATCAAAGTGTGACACATATTTATTGGTAGACTTGCCTCCTTACCTTAAGTTATTCCATTGGTCCAAAAGATTTCCTCTATAAGAACGAGACAAATACTTTTCTTCTAACTTGGTCTTCATTCCAACCTAGTTAGTAATAGGGGATTGACCTCTCCTAATCAAAGACTCTTCTACACTTTTCCAATAGAGCTAATCGATTCCACCAAGTTTTATCTTTGCAAATCTTACCCTTCTATTCTCAGATAGATTATACTAGCCAAAGAATTGATCCATGTTACGGATCCATCTATCAAAAATCCACGGGTCAAGTTGACCCTCAAAAGTTGGGGCTTCTATCTTGATATGCCTCATGAGTCGCTCGTCAGGGTCATTATAGTCACGATAGCCCTGATTGCGGTTGTATTGATGGTTCCTAGGATGAACTGGTCTTTGAAAATAATCATTAGAACGCTCACTATCATTAGGGTCATCAAAGTCATTGTGACCCTGATATTGGTTATGGTGGCGGTTCCTACGAGGAATTGGTCTTTGAGGATTCCTATGGTTGTCATTAGAATGCTCACTCTTACTAGACTATTTTATTTGCAAAGTTTGTATGGACTCCATCCTCCTAGACAAGTTGTTCATTTGATTGGACATGTTGCTCATTTCTGTTCATATAAGTTGTAATTGTTCTTGAATATCTCTAAAAACATTACTAGACTTCGGGTCCATGGTAGTTATGACTTCTACATTGTGTATTAGACGACTACTACGTAAATGCATGCAAAAACTAATCCTGAGATTGAGATCACAAAATAACACTTGCAAGTAAAAATAAAATTATAGCTAATAAAAAAATAAAAAAATAATTCTTTTTATTATCTTAGGAACTAAGTAATGACAGATTAAACCAGGAAAATACGCAAGCAAGCAATGTAAGTCCTCAAAATGCACATAAGTAATCCAAAAACAATGTTTCAGTTTTCCCACTAATTTAAACAAGCTCCACAATTAATTAAGAGGATCAAATTTTCAATGCTAAATAAGCTCAAGATTAAAGTAATTCAATGTAAAGGCGGGCTATGTAATTTAGTTATGGACAAGCATAAAAAAATAATATTAATAATCTTGGTTAACAAGTGTAAAAGCATACCAGGAACGATGATATCTAATAGGTAAAAGAATTTTTGACCAGGTGATGTGGCAGAATTCGCTGATGTGGCTGCTGATACAGAAGCTGCCTCACATGATGATATGTCAGGTGATGTGTTGATGACCTGGATGCTAAATGCTGATGTGGTTGGTGACGTGGTAGGGCTAATTATTTTGGGAGCCTTTGCTTTTGTCTTCCCAACCTCCTGTGGTTGGTTGCCACTACTAGAGGCAATGGGTGGTTGCTAATTATTTACTCATGCAGGGCTTCATGATTCTGCTTGGTCCCGGTGGTGCGAGGGACAGGGCATTGGTGTTTGTGGAGTCACTGCTGGATGGGGGCCCGTTGATGAGTGGATCGATCATTGCTAAAGGCAAGGGCACCGTGGATGGTGACGTTGCGGTTGTTGTTGCTGCTGTGGTGTGGTTGATGGTGCTGATGGTTTGTAACACTGATTTAGAACCGAAGATAAAGAGTTGCTGTGGCTGCAGTGCTGCGGGTTGTTGAAGACAGTAAATTAGCGTGTGCTTATGGTTGTTAGCTGTGACCGGTGTTGATGTCGAATGGTCGATCGCTCTGTGGGACTGATATGCAAGTCTTCTTGGTGGTGGGTTTGCCGCTGTGATAGGTTGAGGTGCCACTGATCATGAGGCGTTGCTGCTGAGGATGGCTGTCATTGAACAGTGCCGATGAACAATGTTTTTGTTTTTTTGTAATTAGAATAATATGCTTTTTGTAGATCAATCTAGGGTTAACGTAAACATATGGATCGTTTAATTGTAAGAACAATTAAAAGCCATGCTCTGATGCTAAATTTGATGCAGGATAGTAAATAATAAAATTAAAGCAAGAAAAGAAATAAGCTTTTAGAAAAAGAAAGAAGTTGAAGAAGAGAAAAAAGGGGATTGAAGATATACAAAGTTTGCAATATTTTTATTAATCATCAAAATAATCTTTCAAGATGACAGAAGAACATATAAATAGTAAACTCTAAAACATCTTACTATTGGACTCGGCCCATCCATCAAACTGTTTAACATAAATAATAAAATAAAAATGAGCAGGCCTAAATGGGCTAAATAAATAAAATAACAATGAAATAGGCCTAAATGGGCTTAATCTCTCAACCAAAGCGTGACAAGTTGGGCCGTCCTACGTCTCTATCCATATGCTCGTGTAGTGATTAGTACTTAAAAGTGCATTTTTATCAAGGTTTTATATCATGATTTTGCACTTGAGTATCAATAACTCCTTAACTAAAGCATGTTTTATAATAACATATCTAATAATATAAGATACCTTTAATTATTTTATAAATATTCATTTTAAATGCGGCCTATCACATAAATAAAATGATTGATTGATGAGTTTAAGAACTGAAATTGAAAGGACAAAGAGATGACCAAACTTAGAAAAGAGATGCTAGTGCAATCCAAACTAGAATATTTTTATGTAATTGGGTCATATCTGGAGCTGTAGATCTCAGATTTAGGTCTACTTTATATGGATGAAAAGGTAAGACATAGGCCTACAACTTTTATATAGAGCCCAAGATTTAATAAGGTCATTTTTAAGTCCAAATTGTAGCAACAATGAAAAAGTCTGAATCTGTCCTGCAGCCTCAACACTGTTCAGGCCCATATATGGAGTTCTAGAAGTCCAAATGACCTCAATTTTTTTTTTCTAGAAAGCTGAGATAATTTTCTACAACTTTTATGTTTCAAGTGGTTCCAATTCTGAAGTTATCAATGACATTTTGGGTAGATAAGAGAAGATAAGGATTGTAACGAAGTTAAGAGTTGGCCACCCACTCATTAATTAGTCATCAAATTAATAATTTCTAATTTTGGCTTATAAAATAAGGCATTTGCCATGCATTTAGGCATCTTGGTCTCCAGATCAAGATCATGCTCTTGCTTTCTCTCTTTGTATTTTTGTGATGCTTAAGTTTTATTTACATTAATATCTTGTTTATGGCTTTCATTTCCTTTACTTAGTTAACTTTTATCTTATTTATGTTCTTATCTTATTTGTTTATGTTTCTCTCTTTCATTATGTTTAGTTAATTTTATTATGTTAAAGTGAAAAGGTTACACTAATGGTGTAAGATAAGTATGGTGTAAACTTAATAGGGACTTTTATGTTTAATACTAACA